ATGGATGGATTGGTGGATGGGTGGGTGAGTGGGTAGATGGGTGAGTGGGAGGATGAATGAGTGGATGGATGGATGGATGGATGGATGGATGGATGGATGGATGGGTGAGTGGGAGGATGAGTGGATGGATGGATGGATGGGTCAGTGGGAGGATGAGTGAGTGGATGGATGGATGGATGGATGGATGATTGAGTGGATGGACATACGGATGGACAGATTTCAGCTGGTCATTTAGTTTATTTTAAGAGTTGACTGAAGAGGATTTGCGACCCAAATGCAATCAGCTGATTAACAAAGCATCAGAAAGTGACTCAATCATTAATTTCGTCCTTTGTAAGATGCACAGACTTCAGAGTGTTTGTGATGTGCTGCTTTTCTTTATCACACTTGCACAGCACACGCTGTTCTCGGACAGCAGCACAGGTGTGGATGGACGCTGGTGAGGAAAATGAGCTACATTAACACCTGCTGAGGCATTCTGCGCAGTAACCTAAATGTTAATGACTCGAGCAGTTGGCAAGAAAATGGACGGGATAACAAGCTCTGACGAGGCCTGTCGAGTTAATCAATGGCCATGACATCCGATGAGACCGTTGCAAAGGACCAGACAAACACACAAAGGTGCAGTCAATGAAGAGCACAATGTCATCTCAGCAAGTGACAGCTCAGCAGCCAGAAGTGAGAAGGAGGAAAACTGTTTTACAGAGTCAATGTCTGATGAAATGCACCACATCCACTCCAAGATTCCTCAAATGGAAGCAGAGTGGAGGGGGGTTTCACAGCAGGAGGATCGGTGTGTTACAGAGCAAATAAATCAGCCACTTGGCATCGAATGTCGTCAGACAGACTGCGGGCATGTTTCAATCAACAGGCCAAGGGACACACTGACAGCATGTGGGGGGGAGGGGGGGGAGATAAAAAAAATATTTAAAAAAAGAGAGAGTACAACGAGCACGGATGAGATATGAGACGCCGGCAAGAAAGACATACATCAAGCTTGAAACCATCACCGGAGGATGAACTGAGTGAAGACAGTCCCACAAGACATGAATATGGGTCATATATATTTCTGGAGCTCATATTCGTAGCCATGTTAACTTGCTGTCACGCACACAGTTAAGCACAAAGTCTCATGAATTCTTTCGTATTCCCTTAATATGAACTCCACTACAAAAATGATCTGAAAGCAACTTTTATGGCAGTATGATGTAACATAGCATACATGTTATACTGTAAGCTACAGTGCTTTAATATTAAAGAGCATTTAAGTGTCAATACATGGACAGAGATATGTGAAGCCATTTTAATGCACTTCAATTAGAGGATTGGAGTGAAGAAGCTACTTCAACACAATTATATTCATAAAAAAAAGTTTTAAATGGGGGCCTATTATGCTCATTTTTCATTCGTCTTGGACTCTAGAGTAGCTTTGCATGCTTTACAGTCCAAAGAAATCCTATTCCGTCCTTGACATCATATAAAAAATGTAAAAAATAAAATAAAATAAAAATTGTGTGAAGCCAAAGCTTTAGGGATTACATCTACATAGGCTTACCTCATTATTTGAAACTTCAACCATGTTGCAGCAGGCCGTGAAGGCTCAAGCCATGTGACACGAGACTCACTGGAGAGCCAGCTGATGGCATCTCCAGTGTGTCCTCCTTACAGTAGCAAAATAGACGAACAGCAAAGGCTTGCTGGTTTCGCAGCGACTAAACTTTTTAACTCTACTGTGGCACATGTTATCAAAATTTGGAAAAATTAAAATTAAAAAAAATCCTAAGAAAATGCATCACCAAATATACCTGTGGAGTCATACCATGTAAAATCTGTGTAGGAAACACTGCATTTCTTTTCACACAGCCAAAAATACAGTCATGTAAGAAAGAAAGACTTCTTCAACAATGTCCTTTGGACAGGCAAGACCAGAGTGAAGATGCTGGGTGATAGTGGACAGCATCACCAACCACATCCTGTCAGTTGAAACACTGCACACCAACTGTCAGCGCTGTGGCTGAGGGGTGATGATTTGGGCGCGTTTTGCAGCCACAGGACCCGGACACTTTGCAGTGACTGAGTCAACCAAGAATTGAGGTGTTGCAATGACCCTGTCAAAGCCAGATATTAAGCTGGTTTAAATGATGTGACAAGATCTTAAGAGAGCTGTTGAAGGTAGTTCTAACAGCTGTTGAATCGTGGGGTGTAGTTGGTTTTTAGGATTATCACAACTTATTATTGTTACATTTAAATTTGAAAAACTCTTTGTGCGGGAAACACTGCATTTCTTTTCAGGGTTGCAGGCACGCAGTATATTCCATGAGTTTGGACTTGTCAGCTGGTATCTCGGAAAATAGAGCTATTAATGTGATTAACGTTGTAACAAAGTCCACTTTACCACAAAAATAATCTAACAACAAATTAGACGAAAGCATAAGCATTGGGAGTTAAACCCCACTCTCCTGGAGTGGATCCTTGTGGATTATTAATGATGTTTTTCTATCACCTGGTGTTCCCATACTTTAATTGTGAAACTCAAACTGAATGAGCTGAAATCTGTGTAACTGGTTGCTCCAGATGGCATTAAAAGAGAATTAACCATGAGTACTAATGGTGCACTCATGGTTAGCAGCTTGGTGGCCTTAAAAACACAGTTGGCCAACAAAAGATTATTACGGGTGAGCCAGCTTTCTCTGCACTGAGAGGAGATTCACTAAATGCATGACTGAACAGAGTAAATCTACAAAGCCATTTGAATTAGAGAAGGCTGGAAACATCTTTTATTTTTTGCTTCCAGTGTTCGATTTAGTTAGAGCTAATGGGCATAATTTATACATGAAACACCTGCCTGGTCCAGCACGAAGTAAACACAATCAGGGGAGGCCACGTAAGGACATCCGTGGATGCCTCCAGGATTTCAAAAACAGCAAGTCCATCTAAATATTTCCTGAGAGGACTTGAGAATTTATCAGTACCACTTACAGATTCAGTGATTATCAGACCTGCAGCTCACAAAATGAAAACTCCACCTGCACATAGTTAGCAACTGTTTTCCACCTGTGATTTTCTTTGTCAGCAAAGCTGAAAACCATTTATTTTCCCAGAAAATCAAGCAGGAAAGCAAGGAGGTGGTTTGTTTGATCTGTCAGCCGGCTCCTGCTTTCATTCAGGCCACCCGAGGAGTGGACAGATTATCATCGGCAGGAAGCAGAGCAGCAGGATCGGTTCTCAACCTGCCGAGTTTAGGCCTCGAGATGTAGGCAAAGCTTTGCTTTCATCAAATACCTCGCAGAGAAAACCAATCCCAAAAGCTGCAGTCTGCCATAGCAGAACTGAAGAACTTATTACTGCAAAATGGTAAAATTATAAGAAATAATGGCAGCAATTTTAAGATATAACCAGTGTCTAGTAAGAATCATGTAGTTGCATGAGTATGAAGATGCTTTCACAGAGAAACCGAGTTCACGTCTCAAAAAGTTGCACTTTCATTTCAGGCTGAATTGAGACTCATCATGATCTCTGTAGCTGAACTTCACATGCCCGCAGCTCCAGACTCCAGTATGAGTCAACTTTAATGCCCAGAGAAATCCTGCAAGGTGACATCAAGTGCACGTGAACACAGCACACTTACTTTAGCTGTCCCCGCCAGACTGCGAGGCTTTAAATCAAAGAAAACCACAAGCATCACACTCGCACAAACCCAAAACCGTGCCAGCACTCACAACTTCTCAAATCCAACTCATCCTTTCCTGCGAGCAAGAATGTGTTTGTACTGTAACACGTGCCAGATTTTTATTTGGAGGGAACCCATGTTGTTGTAGTTAACAAAAAATGAATGACACATCTCATCAGCCTCATTTTGTGATTAAGGCTGATTAGCTCGTTAGCTTTTTCCACAGAAAAACAACACAAAAAGGCAAATTAGCTTTTTGTGCAATCAGTCATTTTTGCAATCATATCAGGTACCAGCATGCAGTTTGTACATAACATATTGACACAATATTGGATAAGAACTCTTTTTAAAAGTGAACTTTTAGCTCTTTGTGCAGCTCATCTCATCTTCTGTCAGAAACGAGCAGTTTTCCTGTCTCCTGTTTCTTCAAATCTCCCTCCCTTAGACTCTGGAAATCTACTTTGGGGTGGCCCTCCTGCCTTTACTCTGTGGGTGTGTCATGCTTGCAGCATGGCAGATTATATTACAAAATTCAGCACTTGTTATTCAGACAAGTCTATGCAATGTCCATGTGCTCTGCAAGCGTTGCATCATCTCAGTGCAACTTGCCTGTTTATTAAACTTAAAGTGTTATAATGAAACCAAAATTGCGATTTTTTTTTTTTATTCTTTTTCGCAGTGAATAAATGTTTTTATTTTATTTATTATTTGTTTATTTTGAGTATCGCCATCACAATTCCCCAACTCTCTGTGAATGGTCCTCATGGCCAGTGATTAATTGAGTGGATAATTTCCATATTAATGATCAAAAAAACTGACCTCACAGCACTTTGTTCTTTAATTGGGCTGGTTTCAGTCATTCTGCAAATGTACTGTTTATAAGCTTGGGGAAACCTGCAGTCAGCTGAAACTGAAGAAGTCACTTGGATGAGCGACAAAACGTTTCTTCCACTGAAAACGTCCCAATGAACAAAATCAACGTTTTAGGATTTACTTACCTGGATGATTGAGCATGCATCAAGAAAAAGATAATAATGAAAACCAAAGGTACACTTGTAAAACTAATGGGAACCATCACTGAAAGTCAATGAAAGAATTGGGAATAAAATAAAATACTTTTTAATATAAAAAGTAGTCCAGTGAAATTAATAGAACCTAAAGGTTACTATGAAATAAGCAGAAATCATCCCTGTTTCTCAAATTTTTTTTAGCATGCTGCATTTCACACATCATAAGTTCACATCTGAAATGCAAAATGTTCATTAACAATTACTAAAAGTTAAAAACACAAGGGCACAAATCTAATTCTACTTAAATAAACTTCACTCACCAGCGTCGTCGGACTCCTGTGTTTATTTTGTCTGGAAAACAAAGAAACAAAAAAATTCATCTTAGTGTCATTTTTTATATAATCTGCTTCAGGAGCATAGAATGTATATAAAAGACAACATAGCCACCAGGCTGTCACCGTTTGTGTGAGAAGGTAAACTACTATGAATTGCACAGGTACAAAGAACAGACGGGGACACCTGCAAATTAGTGCTAAGTAACAGACCAATAAAATATGAGAATTTCACACATCAAAACTGAAGCACAAACATTTAGGATGGTGTGTATCACACAAACCAACCACAAAAATCAGTCAATCCATTAAAAGAGGTCCACAGATTAGTGAGCTGGCAGATACCAGTCAGTCAAATACACCACGTCCCTACCTCCAGCATCAAGATCAGAGTGATCATTAAGAGGGAAACTATCGAAAAACAGTTTTTTGTAACATGCTTTGTCTAAATGTCCAAATTTTAACCTGGGAGTCTCTGGGGATTCACTCACTTTTGGGGCCAGCCTCAGGTGGCCACTAGAGGAACTGAAATTTCTGGTAGGTTCAGGTCTAATTGCTGCTGCTTGTTCAGGAGCTACACGGCTAACCGTCTGGAAAGCAATTCAGACAAGAGTGCTGGCTTAAGGCTCACTAATTAGCATGATTTCTTTTTACTTTTTATAAGCAGTTAATATAATTTTATTAGTGGGATATAACCTTTTCCCAGGTGTAAATGAGTACCGCCCTCCAAATACCACCTCATCTCTTAGAGAATTTAGCAGGTGGATGTCCTTTCCAGCCACTGTGTGGATTAACAGCACCAGCTGCAAAGTGCTGAATGTGAATGCAGTCCCGCTGAGGAAGCAGCTAGCTTGACAGAGATATCAATATGGACACCTGTGGGCCCTCCTGTTGCCATGACCACCAGCAACAGCTGCAGCAGAGTCACTCTATCGTCACCGGCGGCCGGTGGGGGAATCAGCACTTCCTAAACAAATTAGTCTGAGGAAAACTGCTGAGGCCCGAACCCTTTAATTACATCAACCCCAAACCAAATTATACGCAGACTCTGTAATAACTAATGCACATCAAACAAGCCCTCCTCCTCTTCCTCCTATCCCACTCAATCTTATGTGTGGAACATTTATATCGAGGTGTTCATTCCCAGAGGAGAGACGCAGAGAAATGTCAAGACAAAGGAGACATGGCTTCTCCTCCCTCCCTGGCCTTTTCGCTTCTCGTTCTATCACTCTCTCCATTCTTTTCGCTCCCCTTCCTCATTCATTCTCCGTCTCCTTCTCCCTTTATCCTGTCATCTACATTGTGGGGAGCGTCTTTCGCTCCTTCGAGCTTTGGCTGTGTAAGCAGAGCTGGCGAGATGACAAGAAGCAGCGCTGTACTCTGAATAGTGAAGCACAATAGGCGAAGAGGTTTTGCAAGGAGAGAATTAAAATTCTGCCACCGGTGGAGCAAAATAAGATGCCACGTGTGTGTCTGTGAGGGGAGGGGTTTAAAATGAAATGAAATGAAATGTGTTTTTGATAGAAGAACTTCACTCTCTTGGAAAGAGAGCTTTCAAAAGTGAACAAACACAAGGTTTAGAGAGAATTTAGAAGAATGGAAAATGAGCTAAAGCAGACCAGACACATTTAAGTCCTTTTTCTCATTGTTGTTTTTTTTTGTTTTTTTTTTTTTAAATACAGCTAAATGTGATCTTAAGAAAAGTGCAAGACAGAAAGGAGGGGGGAAAAATCGTTCATCTTTCAGTCCACACTTCATCCATGCTCTCATGGAGAGCACCAGCTATAAAAAGGCCATTCATAAAAAGGCAGGCAAATACCATCAATCAAAGGATGCATGCAAATTAAGGTCAATGAGCTCCTCATACAATGCAAACATCACACTGAGCTCTTACTACTGGGAGCAGAATATTAATAAGTACATGTATAGTGTATACAGGAAAAACCTGCTCACCAAGGATAATAAGGTCTTTAAGGGATGTTAAGATAAAACATGTGGCACCTTCATAATAGTCTCAGGTGACTGCCCAGCTTTAAAAACAGTACATCCTACTATAATGGTTAAGTGGACATGTTGTTATGTAGCGCTTTTCGACTCTACCTGAGCACTCAAGGAACTTTGTACAACATGCCACATTCATCCATTCATCCATTCACTTTTTTTTCCTATGTTTAAGTTCTTTTTATCTAACATTTACAAACATTCAGCTTGGGGTTGATTTCTTGCCCAAGAATTATTGGCATGGAGACTGGAGGGAGATCGAACAAATAACCTTCTGATTAGTAGACGAGTTATTCTACTTCCATATAGTCATATCATATCATCATTGTAGTATATGTATGTATGAATATTTGTGTGTCTGTACCTTATGTCCTCCTTAATTCATGGGAAAACTTGCACAAACATCGTCGTAAATACAGAGATTGATACAGTGAAAAACACTATAAATCTCTCTTATTTTATCTTCTCTTTTTAGGACAACTCTATAGAGTTGTTGTTTTTTGGTTTGTTTTTAATAGCTTATCCATTTCAATACTGGAGTTGTTGCTTGGCTGCTTCCAATGACTAGTCTCCCGGCCACAGATAGTATAAAGGTCTTTAAAGTGAAGCTACCAGGGGGCAATAACTGTGGTTGCAAAAGGACTTCGGCCCTATAGATGTTTGTGAGAAAATGGTCCTCAGCCCCTAGGTCAGTCAAGTCCATGGTGTCAGTCACCAGGATATACTCCTTATCTAATCACCTCTCATCAAGAAGTGGTAACATCCCTCTTTTTATATTACCTGTGATTCCACTGGAGGCCGTTTTTGGCTGCAACTCTAGTATTTTATGCATCTGTTGCTTAGCTAACTAGGAGATATGTACATGGCAGCATTGAAACTGCAAAACATGTTTAACTGATGTGTGGTGTAGAGATGTGGACATCCATATATTACACAGTCTGTTTTACACAATGCTGATTTAACCAATAAAAAAGAAAGTAAAGCACCAAATTCTCTGTTTTAAGTATATTGCAACTTTATTTCAACCGAGATTTTTCAATATTGTGCGATTATAACTTCACTGATTATGCTAACTTTGCAAACTCCACCTGTGTTATAAAGATTTGAACGTTCACATTCTATCAGAGCAAGCAAGGCAGGAAGTGCTTGTGCAGTGGACTCTCACTTAATTTGGGTCTATTTATTTAAAGAAATCTTCTTTCATCTCAAACAGTATTCTGTCATAAAGCTTCTCTCATCCCTCATCGCATCTATCCTTTAGATCTCTGCCATCTTGTGATTGCAGTTGGATATTGTCTCTGGAAGCAAACTTGATTACAGAACTACTAAAATCTCATGGACTTGTCTGTCTCAATCTCCTATTAATAAAAGCTTGATTGCACATGTGAAGTGTGGATAAACCTCTGGTCTGTGACGGGAGACTGTCGGAGATTAGCATGCTAGCTAAGCCACTGCTGGCTCTGCTTTCACTGCTCTCAGATCAGTTACCTTCAGTGCTTTGTGTGAAACAAAGCTAGCATTGGCAAGTAAACAACTGCTTTCATTTATCGTTGTAACAAATGAGCATTCTCTCACTGACCACCTCGGCCAACTTGTATGACGTAACCAACTTAATAACTTGTTATAATTGTTTGATTAGCAGCTGTGAAACCACTTGGTTGGCCAAAATGTACAAAGTTTAACTTAACATGGTTGTTGTTTTTTTTTCTTTTTAAATAAAGTTATCTGTGTTTCTTAGCTCTCATTGCCTTTCTGTAAAAGGTACCACATGCCTCTGAATTGGTTGTCACAAAAAGGTTCCAAAAACTATCTTTCTAGAAAGCTGGTTTTTACATGATTCCTTGTGTATATTTGCCATTCTGACAGATCCAAAGTAAATACATATATTAGCTGCCTGGGATGGCCATTTTGCTGCCTGCATAAGAGGTCACCGTCTGGGGATACTTCCAAGCAGAGGTGGTAAATGCAAAGTTAGCATTGAGCCAAAAGAGCCATTTAATGGGAACTACATCATAGTGTTTATCTTGAAAACATTACGGCAACATGCAGGCACTAAGGCAATCAATTACTGAATTATACCATGCTGTTGCACAATGAATGCAATAAGCCCTCTGGGCTTTTTTCTCATTACCAGGTACACACTGTCCTACACGGGCGAAGCAGGGGAGGCTTTTAATAACATTTAGTATTCAGATTAAACCGTTGTACGCAGCCAAAGCTACGGCTTCCAGGGTTTTGGCTCCAAAGTAGGATCAATTTACAATCCAATTAATTCAAATTGTGTGGAAACATGCTCACAAGGAGGAAAACAATCGGCTGTCCCATTAAGGCAAAGACAAATGAGGGTTTGGAGCCGAAAGAGAAGAGACACCTGATGCGTTTGACATGCCTGCTTTCATTATTTGGTTTACTTCCAATACAACAGGCTTTTAAAATAATATATGCATAGTAGGAGTACTTTTTTCCTTTTTACCTAAAAGCCACTGATGGGCTCCAGTTGGATTTGATCTGGATTTGAAGTGCGCTTCAAACACAATGTTCAATTTGTCTGTTAAAAATAAATAAATAATTTATTACAGCTCATCAAAGACTTGCAGCAAATAAACCATGATGTTTCCGAGAAAGCGCAAATGATACGCATCTCTCACAGCAGCAAGAGCAACACTGTCTGAATGTTTAAAAGCTGTACATACAAAAAAAAAAAAAAAAAGACCACAATATAGATCCGCTGCCTTCAAAGCAGCTGGTCAATCATGTTTAGCCACTCTTTCCTGCTCTTTAAATGACTTGTCATCCTGTCTTTCAAACCTGCTGTGAGCCACACACAGCTGCAGATCACCAGCATGACCTTTAGAAAGATTCAGGGAAATTCATTAACGAGCCTTTGATTAAGTCGTTTCACGCTGGCAGAGTTTTTCCTTGATGGGAACCTAAATAAATAATATACCACTTCCAGCTGATGTGTCCTTATTAAGCTCAAAATAACACCAACATAGATAACTTAATCAGTGATTTGTG